CTTCTTGTTAACGAGGTCCTAGAAATTGAATGTTACATTTATTAGAGTTGTAATTAACTGGAATAACCAGGCACTGACAGGAAAGATAAACTTATTTGTTTTAATAAAAACAACCTTTGATCAATGACTGTGATTCACAGGCACACACTCATTCACACACAGTGTATCACCTCATATGTTGGGTTAATGGATAAAGGAACCAGAGGCCTCAAAGGTGTGGCCTACCTCGTTTAACTTTGCAAACTTTTCTTTCAGTTCAGCTTCCAGTCCGGAGACATCCTCTCCCTTCTTTTTATCCATTGGGATCTTGTAGAAGTACGGTATCACCTGTAGGAAACAGTGACATTAATATTATTATTTGGTGGTGGTTAACAAAAAACAAAATGTTAAGGTTTATATGCAAGTCTTTGTGTGACCTACTTTGGAAAAGTGCTCCAGCATCATCTTTTGCTGAGCCTTAGCAAAGGGAGAGGAGGGAAGCAGCTTCTTTTCAGGGTAAACTTCATCCAGGTATTCACAGGTGATGGGTGACTCGTATATCACCTCACCAGCAGGTGTCTCAAGCGTTGGGACAAGACCAAGAGGATTCTTCTTAAGATACCAATCGGGTTTTTCTTTCAGGTGGACATTTATGGTTTCGTATCTGAAAACAAAAAAGCAGGTTATGTGTGCATGTTTAAGCACAGGTTGAATGACTGTGATGATTTTTCATTTCTACAGCAAACTAGAATAAAGAGTAGTCTTACTTGATTCCTTTGGTTTTGAGCACCAGTCTGGTCCTTTGGGCAAAAGGGCAGAACCTCATGCTGTAAACCCTGATGTAGTCTTCAGGGACTGGGCCAGGGGCAGCGCTACCTGAGGGATACAAAAATGTTTCTTCCATTAAAAGACTGGTCAGTAGGGAAACCTGAAGAGGGATTACGTAAAGACTTTTCTCCTGTTTAACTTTTACTAAAGTAAAAAAAAAAAAGAAAAAAATCTATTTTGTACAGTAGTATAATTTTCAGAGTAATTTTATAGCTGACAGTTTGGGTTATGTTGTGCTTCCACATCAGCATTTTGTCTTCGTAGTATTTTTACACAACATCCCAAGCTTTTTGGAAACAGCATTAACTGACCTTTATTTTCAAACTTACAGTGAATTTACCATTTCTATTTGATTACAGGGCAGCTGACTGTGGATTATGCACATTTATACATTTGTGCTTGTACTTCAACTGGATTTTTTTTTTTTTTTTTTCTGACGTCTGCTTGTTTTCAGAGACGCCACAGTGAGTCGCTGTTTGTTCAGACAAATTGGTTCAGGCATAAAGAGTTTCGTTTATAAACGTTTATAAATCAATAATCACCTGGACCGTTTGGCGCTGCTTTCAAATCGGCACGAAGAGGTTTCATAGGACTAAAGCATGATTTTGTAAAAAACGAAGCTAAATCCTTACCACAGATCGAATCGGAGGGAGAAAACTATTGCATTTCACATCGATAAGCAGCCTTCAGTTAACAGAGTAATACTTTATTTCTTACCTTTAGCGAGACACTTTTCAGCAGACATGTTGGCGCTTGAAATAACGAATGATTTGAAACAGACTGTAAAGGACGGAGCTAAAGTTTATATTTTACGCTCTAGTTCCGCGGTGGGCGTGTCAAACTGAGT